GGTTGATGAATTATAAATTGATGTATAATCAAAATAATTAATCATAGATTAAAATAATTAGTATAGGTCTATGAAAATAATTTTTGCTTTGATTAGAAAACTCTGCATATACCAGTAATACATTCAATACTAAAGAAAAATTAAAGACAACGACTTTTCTTTAATAATAAAGATATATTTATCAATAGAAATACATTTATTTTATTTGATTTTTGTCCAGTTATTTTAATGTGAAAGCAATATTTCTTTCTTCTTTTCAAATCTTGAAATGAAAATGCATGATGTTTTTTTATGATCAGTTTTACAGCGACTAATCTCGCACTAATATTAATGCAGCGTAACATTTTGAACATTTGGAGTAGATAACGCAGTAAAAGTAAGGAAAGATCAGCAGGAGCTGTATCTCTTAAGACAATCTCAAAGCATTGTTTAACAATCTAGCCAATTATGTCTTGATTGGAGCGATTATGGAACAACATTCTTACCAATTGTTTACTTCAACAATCTCCTTCAGATAATGAGCTTCCACTTTCTTTTTACTTCTTTGAGAAGTTTAAAGCTTTTGGTAAATATTTGCCAAAATATATAGCCACTCCTGAAGTAAGGAATATATTTGTCCTTCTCCTCCTCATTATTGGTGTCTTTAATTTTAATAATTTTCTGAACACATAGGTAATGTTGGTCTTAGATATAGAATAAAGGTCTTAGAATAAATATCATATTAGATTGTTATGATTTTTTTTATGTATGTTATGAACTTTTTTTTAATACAGACTTACTTCTTTACAATACCAAAGTGATATGCTTAGTTCATTCATAAATTATGAATCAATTAAAAAATAGCCATTACTTACTAATGATGGGCAATGGAAATCAACTAGAGAAACCATTTAATATCTTAGAATTGTTTATTATAGAATAATAAGCAGTAGGTAACACTAAAATCATATCTCCGATTAGATATTAAAGTAAACATATCCCATATTTTTGCATGGTCCTGTATAAAAAGTTTAATTTATTGAACACAAATTCAAATTGTGAAAAAATTACGTACAGAAAAGTACGAAGGTGACAACAATTCATAAGAAATGTTGCATAAAATTTTGTTTCGTTTGTATTAGAGAAGAGATAGTATTTATATGTTTAGACTTTATTGCACTAGAAAAAAAAAACGATTGAAAATAACTGCATATTTTAATAAATTTGAGTTTGTTTTATCAATTCCTGTGGTGTTTCTATCTGCCATATTTTTAAGTGTTATCTGTCATGTCTTTGATTTTTTATAACCAAGTCCTTCAAAGTGGTTTATTAATTGTTTTAAAAAGGACCGTTTGAAATCACTAAAATATAATAATATATACAGATGTAATAATAAATAACATATAGCAGTTAAACTGTATCGCTTGTTCTTTTAGAATAAATCTTAAATCCTAAAATACACATTCTTCACAAGTGTGCAAGATTCCTTCGTTTTCTAGTGTTTCATTTTGTGATGTAATATATTAACATATACAAGGTTAAAAACCAGTTACTACTTCCACCTTAATAGATATAGTTGGTACTATAACAGTACCTTCTATAATATTTATATAACAGAAAACATCTCTTAATCAAACCAAAAACAAATTGAAAAGTTTATTATATTTTATACATTTATATAATAAAGTTTCAGACATCTTAAGGCAGTTACTCTTTTAAGAGCCTAAGGCTTAATTTTAAATCAAATTTAAACAAACAAGATAAGTGCGTAAGTTGTAAATGTATTTTTTTATTGTTTCGACGGTGTTGACCTGCTAACCTGTTAACAGTGAAACTGTAAGTTTTTTTTTAATTTCATAAAGGTATATAATAAGTTTACTAGTATTCTTATTGAAAAATGTAGTGTTTGTCATTTTATGAATATAAAAATTTTGTATATTTGTATTTGTATTTATATTGTCTTACTTAGTGACTTTATTTTCGATGTTAATAGGTACCTTTGGGTCTCCTTATTAGCGTCCTACAATGCTGCATATGACCAATAATAATGTACGATAGCGAGACATGGTCACTTAAAGTAACATATCTAAACCGTATTGAAGCGTATGGTATCTCAGAAGATTCCTTAAAATTCCATGGGTCGACAATATTACAAATGAATATCTACAAACTCCCTGTATATTTATATTAAGTTCTTCATTTGTGGTAATTTCTGGTGATTCCGGTTCTAGTGTCGTTTGTTATTCCTCTGCATAGAGCTTTTTTAGGTAGTTAATCCTTGTATTCTTTTCTACGTGTTTTGGTTCTATTAGTTTCTTTACCTTCATTCTTTGGTTTTTTTTTGCTATAAAGCGCTATATTTCCTTTTGCAGACTATAAAAATCATATTAAATTTCTTTCGAAAAGCGTTCTCAGTGATCATTTTTTAAATTTCTTACATGTGTGTACAAGTGCATGTGCTTCGTTTCTTGTCTTGTAATTATGGTATGCCCTTGTGTTTTGGTTAACATGTGCTTCAAGTAGCTTTTTTCTTTTAAATTTTTCCTTCACTTCTGAACAAAAATATGCCGTCCTTCGCATTGGAAATGATTTATTTTTATCTATATTTCTTTCACCAAAACCTTCCTTGGGCGAAGCTAAGATATTAGACTCAAATTTTTGCCCAGCTTTCTTCGACTCCATCCCTTTCTGTAATATATGTATTTCTGCTTTTTTCTGTTATTTTTATTTGGAATAGGTGTCTTGTGGAGTCATCCTGTGGGCTTGCGACTTTCATCTTTCTGTTATATTTTGGTGGTAAATGATCAAATGTATGTGTTTTTATTCAAATTTTGAACAATACGAATTTATGAAGAAAATTGTTATGTTCCTAAACCTGAAATAGTAATAGAAGAAATACCAGAGCCCACAAGAGAAGAAATTGGAGAAATAATAAACGATATGAAAAATCAAAAAAGCCCCAAGGAGAGCGGCTTTGTGGCAGAGAACATAAAATATGGAAGAGAGGCCTTAATAAACAAATTTGGTGAGCTAATACTAGAAGTATGGGATGCCGAAGAAATGCTTTAAGAATGGAATAAGTCTTATTATATATTATTATATATATATTATATATAATATTATCTATAATAATATAGAGAAGAATCTAGGAGAATACCAGGGAGGATTTCGGAAAGGAAGATCAACAACCGATCAAATTTTTATGCTAAAACAAATCCTGATCAATTGTTATGAATACAACATTTTAGCACAAGTACTTTTCATTGATTACAAAGCTGCCTACGATACAATAGACAGAAACAAGTTAATAGAAACACTAAAAGAATTCCAAGTGCTACAAAAAATAATAAGATTGGTAAAAATGACAATTAGACAAACCATTTGTGCTGTGAGATGCAACAGTACAGTCACAGAAGAATTCGAAGTGAAAAAAGGTGTTCGCCAAGGAGACCCGTTGTCTACATTGCTATTCAATATAGTTCTAGAAAAAATTGTAAGGGTTAGTGGGATAAATAGGGCCGGAACTATTTTATACAAGGAGCACCAATGCTTAGCATACGCTGACGATGTGGTTCTCATTGCAAGAAATGGAAAAGAACTATCAAATATAACAAAAAGACTGATTCGGGAAAGCTCTAAAATGAGACTGAAAGTCAATATTAATAAATCGAAGTACATGGAGATCTCGAGCAAAAAAGGAATAAACACCAGGGGATCCTTTAAATTGGAGGTGGAGGATGGATCAGAGAAGGTGGATGAATATATGTACTTAGGTACTCTTATTGATCAGACATGTAAGGAAGAAACTGAAATCAACCTGAGGCTGACCAAGAGCAAGAGCTGTGCTGGAGCAATGAGCAAAATAATTAAGTAGATAGATATATCTCGTAATACAAAAATAAGAGTATACAAAACTATAATTAGACCCACAATGCTATACGCTGCCGAGACATGGACTATGAACAAAACCATACAGAATACATTGGAAGCATGGGAAAGAAAGATATTTCGCAAAATATTTGGTGGAAAATTAGTAGAGAGAGAATGGAGAAGTGTATCATTTGTATGCTAACCCTACAATAACAAAAGTGGTGAAAAAACGTAGACTAGAATGGCTCGGTCATTTATAAATAATGCAAGGTGATAGACTAGTTAAGAATATTGCTTGGAGAGCACCTGAGGGCAAAAAAAAGAGAGAGGAAGACCAAGAAATAAATGAAGAGATATAGTGATGGAAGATGTCAGAGGGATGGGCATCAGAGATTGGAAGCGGTTAGCTAAGAATAGAAAACGATGGAAATTATCCATCCAGCAATGGGCCTAAAAGGCCTATTAACGCTGTACATACATACACAAATTTATAATCACTTCCTAAAAATAATAAAATTTTTAAATTCATTTTAATTGACAAAATTAAAAGTCAGAGAGAACCTGGTTGAAAACGACACTCATGGTTCAGAGACATAAGAAACTAGTGCGACATACTTGATATCAGTACAATAATAGGTATAGCGGAAAAAAGAGGATCATTTTGCATAATCCAACCACCATGAAACTTACGCACTGCCTAGCGTAAGGCACCAGAAGAAGATTTTCGAGGTCACATCAAATATGAATATATACCTAAATATGTTGTCTGCTTTATTTTTAATTGTCGTTTTCTTACTATAATCCAACTTAAGTCTTACACTTGGTGTAGAACTTAAGTAGACCTATTATACTTAATTTACTTAGATTTTTTTTACTTTATCCCAGCGTTAGTACTCATTTTCTTAATAAAGATGATCTGGACCTATCGTCTAATAACATCTGGTTTCAGTAAGGCGGTGTCCAGCGTCATTTTCGGCTTCCTGTATTGTTGTTTCATCGTCTTCATAGTATTCCACTTCGTATTGTGAAGTGATGGTGTTCGTGATTTGCGGTTTTGTTTTAGTCAGAAGTTGTGAGTAATGTTCGATCCAAGATCTTTCTTCCACTACATATATTTTACATACATTATATATTTAAATTTTATGTTCCAGCATCAGTCAAAATGATTGACTATATCAAAAATTTAAAATTAGTTGATAGCAGTAAAGTTTTAATTAAAGATCAAGAAGAGGTTAACAGGAAAATAGGAAAGTTTATCGAAGGAGGCTACACCAAGCTTCAAGTAATATCTGATTACGATAAAACTATTACCAAACAACATGTTAATGGAAAAACCCAGTTTCATGCCTTCGGTAAGTAATTGACGGGTTACAGAGAATTAAAACAATCTTGTTAGAAGAAATTTTTATATTTATCATATACACGATATTTACCTTACAACTTTTTTTCAACGGCACTTTTAGTGTATATAATTACACTCTATGCATATTTAAAACCAATCAGCAATTTTATTCTAACCAAAGACTAAAAAATATATTTTATGATTTACTCATTGGAGATCTCTTCTTTTATATCAAACATAAATTCCTGCATTAGTCAGTAACATGCAAAATTTTAAGCAATAAACTCTTCTTTCACAACTAACAGTGGTCACTAGATTAAGTCAAAGGACCGATGATGCAATGTTCATTCTTTGAGGGATAGGGTAAGGATATCTTTATTTCGAAGGGAAAGAATGATTGTGTCCGTTTAGGGTCGGTTGACCCTCTTCAGACTTGAGTTTGTATGTTTGATTGTGGTCGTACAAAGGCAAACGCCCGGAAACCGCTGGCGCAAAGATCTTCTCCGTTATCTTCTGTTGTTATTGCACCTTTTTCGCCTGGAGGAGTTGACTTCGGAGAGCCAGAGAATCAGAGAGACAGGGGTTTGTGATGTTTGTTGTGTCTTTTCAGTTTGTCTTATTGTTTTTTGGGCTAGGTGCGACAAGGCCGGGTCTCTAGTGACCATTGGTCCTGTGCAGTCTCGAGCTTAACCCGTCCCCGTAACCAGTGTATTGCACTGAAATTTCGTGGACGGGTGTGCTCGTGAGTGGAGGCGCCTCGGCTTTCGAGAGTCGGCTTGCCGCACTTCGCTCAGTGTGAGTTTGTATGAATTCCAACAGTGATGGACGCTACCATTTCGGTGTTACAGACTCCTCGAACCGTCTAGATTCTCCCCGGCTGCCCACAGATCCCGTGTAAAGTAACGGGGGCCGCAGGCGGTCGGGGGTCCCGAGGGTGAGGGTGCATCGGTAGCATGAAAGAGGACCCCTTTCACTGTTGGAATGTGGAGTTTGTGAGTAATTGTGTGTGTATGTGTATGTAAGTGAATGTCATTGTACTGATCCGACAGCAGCCTGCATCGTTTCCCTATTATCCCTTGTTCCAGCGTCGTTTACGCGTTCACAAACAACACGAGACTAGTGTATTGCACTAAAATCTCGCGATTGTTGTTTGTGTTCGCCAACGGCGAGGTTTTGGGGGTTTTGGTCGACGGTGCCTGCAGCTGTCGAGTCAGGTGAGAAAATAGTTGCGGCTATTTCCTCAGGGACGGACAGGTATCGTTTAGTAGTGAGATTGGGAAACCGCAAAAAACCAATCTCCCCCTGTCCGGGGTTAGGAGTGGGATGGGTGAGTGATAAGGATGATTGAGGGTAGGTGATTGACTAGGCTATGCGATAGGCATATGGAGTGGCCTCTAGGATTTCAAAGTAGTCTGCCGGAAGATCATCGATGCATGTTTGCATTAATATTGAGGGAGGATGTGGGAATTTTCGTTTGGGAATCCGGGTGACTGTGTGTCCTCTGAAGGAGCAGGAACTTTTTAGTGTGTTTTGGGTGTTGGATGGAGGACCGTTAATAGTTCTAAGGGTGAAGTTCCTGTTGAGAGTTTTTATTCTCTCGAGAATAGGGGTGGTGTTGGCCAATCTATGGATTTGACGTGAGGGGAAGTCCCATCTTTTTCTACAAGTTTTGCGTAGGATTCTACGCTCCGTCGAGAGCAGCTTCTTCCTCTGACTCTCCTTTAGAAGGCAGTATAAGTGGGCCTTATACTCTATAACGGGTCGAATAAAGGTTTTATAAGTATGTGTGAGAGTGGTGTTACTCGTCTTGCCAAACGTCCCTGCAAGTGGTACTAGGAGTCGGGCTCTGTTTCTGACCCTATCTAAAGTTGCCTTTAGATCAGCTTCCCAATTAAGCGTCCTATTAAATAGGACGCCTAGGTAGTTAGCTGTCGGGCTAGTCACGAGCCTGTCTCCCATTAGGTACAGGGGCGTTTGTTCAACATTGTTGGCTGCAAGACGCCCAGATGTGTATGGGGCGCGAAACACAATGGTTTGTGTTTTCGCGGTGTTTAGGGTAACTCTCCACTTATTGCACCAATTTTCGACACCGTTTAGTAGAGTTTGTGCTCTTCTAAAGGTAGTCATGGGAACGTAGCCACTCCCTGTTGTCAGGAGAGCAGTATCGTCCGCGTAGAGAAACAGATGGGTATGAGGAATGTGAGGAGTGGGTATGGAACTGTTGTATGTAATATACAGCAAAGGTGCAAGTACTGAGCCTTGAGGCACTCCTGCTCGAGGAGTGAATGGGGTGGACAATTGATCGCCTACTCTTACCTTGACCGTTCTGTTGGTAAGATATGAGTGGATTATTTTTATGAATTGAAGAGGGAGGCCGATGTCCAGTAGTCTCCGAATAAGTCCGTCGTGCCAGACTTGGTCGAAGGCCTTCTGAACATCAAGAAAAGTGGCGATGGCGATGCTGTTGCCGTTTAATGACTGTGAAACTTTAGTTGTGAAATCTATTAATGCATTATGAGTGGAACGTTTTGGTTGGAATCCATACTGAAATTTGGGGATGATGTTGTTTGTGTCAAGAAAGTCACTGAGCCTCTCCTTAAGGATTAGCTCAAGGACTTTCCCTAGAGAGTTGATTAGAGAGATAGGTCTGTATGATTCCACGTTCGTACGAGGTTTGCCCTTTTTAGGTAGCATTATTGTATTAGCTATTTTCCAAGGAGTAGGAAAATAGTAATTTTTAAGACATGCATTAATAGTTTTGGTGATTAGGGGTATTATACTCTCAGGAAGTTGCTTTAGACACCTTCTACTGATATTATCAGGTCCGGGAGAGTTATTTTTGCCGATGCGGCAATAACTCTCCGTTTCTCTGTCAGTAATAGGGTCCATGATAGGAACGTGATTCGGAGTGTGATGCAAGAGAGTATTTCTTACTACATAATCGGTTTCGGCTTTGAATAGGCGATCGAAGTTTGGATTATTGGGTGTTTGAAAGTTTTCGAAGAGTGAGTTTCTGAATGCTTCGGCTTTCAGTTCAGGTGAACTGATAATTTGGTTGTCGATCAACAGATGGGATGGTTGAGAAGTTTTTTGTTTTGTTAGGACTTTGAATTTGTTCCAGAATTTAATCCCATCTCTGTAATCCAATTTCGAGGTAGTATCTTCCCACTGGCGAGCCTGTAGGATAGATATTTCTCTCTTAATTCGAGCAGAGATGCGGTTATACTCTGTTTTGACTAGGGGGTTTCTGTTGATCTTGTATTGACATAAAAGACGTCTTTTTTGATGTATTTTGGCAATGATGTATTGTGGAAGTGCCGGAGAGAAATATTGTATAGTTTTCATAGGAATTGAGTGATTGATCGCCTCGGTTAGGAGGTTCTCAATTTGGATCGCACTCTGGTCAATACTTTCATTTGTATTGATTTCGCCTAACTCAGGAATGTTGTTGGTGATATAATGTTTGAAATTTTGCCAGTTTGCATTACGATAATCTCTTATTTGTCTGGGAGGTGGTGGAATTATTGGTGACATGATATCAGTGTTAACTAATATCGGAAGATGGTCGGACGTTATTGTATCGCCTATGTGACATCGATCCTCGAACCTATGCATCACGCTACCAGTAACGATGATGTGGTCGACAATAGATGCCCCAGCGGCGGACAAAAACGTATAGTCAGTGTTGGTGATTCTGATAATAGGAAGGTCTAGACGTGTATCGGAGAGTACGATGCCTTCCGGATTTGTGGAATGATCACCGAATTGAGTGTGTCTACAATTCAGGTCGCCCATGAGAATTGCTTTATTTAGAGTTGAGAAGTACTCTAAGAGTTCGATAGAAAGCGGGTTCGCTGGATGCTTGTAGTAAGAGATTATCGTGAGGGTTTGGTTATTGGGAAGGTGGAGGTCAATTGCCAGGAAGTCCACGTTGGGTGGAGGTATATTTTGAGGGAATACGTGGGGGGAGTGTGGTAATCCATGTTTGATAAGGATACCATTCCCACGGGAAACCTGACAGCGGCTTCGATAGATTGTTGTATATCCTGCAAAAGTAGGAGTGTTTTGACAGAGAGTGTCAGTGACGGCTAAGATTTGGATGTTTTGCTTTTGCAGGATATGTTTGATTAGGGGTCTCTTTCTAGAGATCCCTTGGCAATTAACTGCTCCTAATGTGAAATCCATGAAAGGTTATTTAATAGGAAGGGTGGAAGGTCAAATCGACCTTGTTGCTGTGGCCAGACAATGTGATTGTATGGCCGAAAATTCTTTCTACCACAGAACTTGTGATGGAAGTAATGAGGTCCCGTCTTTCGGGAAGGATGTTTAGTAGTACTAAGGTACTAAGTTTGATGGTGTTTTTGAGGTCTGTGGTTAGGTCGAAAGGGGGAGAGGACCTTTCGATGGATAAGGGTTGGATTTGGTGAGGGTTGGCGGGTTGCTCGTGCCTTTTAGGGCACCGGGAAGAGTAGGCGGCGTGTTCGCCACCGCAGTTAGGGCATTTTAGTTTGGACGGATTGGGGCAGTCACTTGACTTGTGGCTATTGCCACAGTTAGGGCAGATGAAAGATCGTTGACGGCACTCTGAAATTGTGTGTCCGTTCGTGCAGCATTTGCTACAGTATTTGGGAGTGGGAATGATTGGATTTGCACCGTGAGGAAGTTCGGTGTAGTGAATTAATCCGTCTAAGGCTATGCCATAGTTTAATACATGATTAAATTTTTCGGCTGAGGTGGTAAGAACTTTGATTAGGCGAGTGTTCTTTCCGGTGTGGCGGGATTTTACCCGCCAAAGGTTGGCTACAGGGATGTCGTTATCTTCCTGCAGGATTTGGGTTAGTTCTTCCTCAGAGTATTCGTGTGAAACGTTTACTATGAGGAATTGATAAGCAGTTGGGCGGGCGGATTGATTGCTAGGAGCGTGAGCTCGACTGGTTACTTTGATCTGGGTTTGACCTGTAGCTTTGTGATTTTTTTGCTGGATTTCTTCAGCGTTCATGGAATGTAGAAGTCGGAGGTGGGCTATACCGTGCTGAAGTACTTTCAGCGAATGGATTTTGGTATATAGCATGGGTATGGCATTTAAAATGCGGAAGAATACCCGTTGATTACAATGGTCTTTGGGGATATCTTTGACGAGATATTCGAAAGTTTTTGGGTTGTTGATAGCATTGGTGATGTTTGGGTTTGTTCGGGGTCTGGAGGTAGAGGGTGCCTTAAGTGCATCAGCGAACGATTGAGATGATTGTTGTGCTGGTTGTTGGGGAGTGTTTCTGGGATAGTTTGGTAGGGGTTTAGATTGTTGGGAAGTATTTGGTTTGGAGGTGCTAGGTTGATTGATTTTAGAGGTAGATTAAGTTTGATTGGGTTTTGAGGGTTGGGTATTACGTTTGCTAGAGATCGATAGCTTCCTATGTGAGGAAGAAAGTGGAGGAAAGTCTGGAGTTTTAGGACGCTGATAATCGCTATCTAATTTTTTGAGTAGTGGATGGTTTGAATCATTTTGTTCGATTTCGTTTCGAACGAGGTTGTATCTGGCTGTTAGGGCGATGATTTCGGAATTGAGGCCTATGAGTTCGTGTGCCGAAGCATACGGGTCATAGGACCTCTCGGGAATTTCGGACTGGACACTTTCAGTCTCGTGATCGTGCAGGAGGGGGGCATAGGGGTTTCGTGCGAGTGCGGCGGTCTGTGATCTAGAGAAGGCAGACCTGGCTGACCCAGGCATTTCGAGGGGATTTGGACGGTACAGAGCAGACCGACAGACGGACTCCGCAGCCTCACGGAGCCAGGGGGCTGTATAAACCCCCCGAAAAAAAGGCTTGTTCTACTGTCGTGCTCTATACAGTATTCGAAGATGGCTATACTCACCAGCGCGTTACCACGCTGCTAAAGGGTCCCTCGATGGACGTCTGTACGCGGAGAATATCGGTCGGCGTACTGGCACTTGTTCCTGAAGCGTTTAGGACGTCAAAAAATAAAATTCTGGGGCCAGTATATTCTACTGAAACCCCGTACTAATTAAATTTGAAGCCAACGCCAGGCCTTGTTGGTTGTTCGGCCGACCTTCTCCTATAGACAAACTATGCGCAGCTATTTTCAGAGCGAAGCTCTCTCAAACCTTTCGGTGACGCTGTTCCGGAGCGGGTATGTTACCAGTGACCTGCTCACTCAGCGTCTCGATCGAAAGTGAGTCAAAGGACCTTTTGAACCTTCTTTTTATACCCGTTTTGTTAAGTACCTGAAGAGACCAAATGTGATTATGGTGAGTCTTTTTTTATGGTTCTCTGCAAATCTTCTAATTTTTTTACCGAACATTTCGACGTCTAGTTCCCTATGGACATCTTCATTTCTACAGTACCTACTGAGAAGCATAAACTATACTTCCTAGTATTTGTTGAATAATATTACTATGACATTGTTTGGTTCATCCCTACAGTTGTAGATTGTAAGGTCACACACGCATAAAGACTAGTTTGTAAATGTTTCTAAATAAATGTTTTATTGTATGTAGATAGAATATATTTCTTTCAAGCCAGTACAACTGTCTATTTTTAAGACCAAGCTCATATTTTTTCACTTTCGCTTTCGAACAAAGCTTTTTGCCAAAATGTATGTCAAGATATTTCGCTTTCTTGGTGTACAACATTTGGTTGAAATTTTATCTAATCCTTTACTTAGTTACTGCCATTATATAGTATCATCAACAAATGTTGTAATTTAAGTATCTTGATTTATTGTTGTAATAGTTAAAAGATACGACCCCTGATTAAATTTTCTTTAGTGTGGAATATTGCCCTTTTTTATAATTTGAAATCTTCTACTTTTTTAATGTAATTCATATAAGGGTGTGTGGTTTCGGTAAATATGATTTTACCTTAAATATTAATGCATCACACTGCAATTATTGATACATCAAGAAATATTGTTAAGCATACTTTTTTCCGCTAGAGATTTTTCTAGATACCAAGTAACCAATATACTTAGTCAATGGTTTAGTGGTGTTGTTGGTATCATATTAGTGTAATGATGTAATATTTTTTCTGTATAAAACAGGTTTTATGTCATTTTTCAAATAATTTAATAAATTATTTTGGCATAACAGATACCAGTAATATTGGTCTGTAAGAGATGAGTTCATGATGTGGTAAAGAAAGTCTAAAAATCCTAAGAAAAGACCGTTTTAATCCTTAAGGATCAAACTAATCATAGTTACAAAATAAACACTCCAGCACAACTACCCGAAGCTAAACCAAAAGAACCATCTGCAAATATTTTCAGAAGCCCTGCTACTTTCAAAGATGCGTCATTACAAATCGTGCTTCGTCCAACCTATCTAATCAAAGACCTGATTTCTGAAAGAGGCTACAAAAAGCTTAAAATTTTTCTAAAGGATTTCTCCCTTTAACAGGCTTCCATTTTCATATTAAAGATAAATCAAGGTCTCCATTTTTTAACATTGATTTCAGACATACAAATTTCGGTGTGAGGAAGGGCTAACTTGACTTGTTCTGAGACACACCATGACATATTATCTGTTAAGTTTTTCTATGTAATCTTTCTAATTTTTTAGCAGATCTTTCTGATCTTTACTATTTTTGATGGGATGATTGGTAAAAAAAACATAGAAGATAAAAAGAAGAGACGCAAAAAAATTCTAGGATCAAAAAATATTAAACACAAAATAAACTAAAAGATCGGCCAGAGAAACAACGAAACATAAGAAAGAAATTGCATGAACATAAACAACTACCTAGAGTGAAAGGAAAATGAGTACTGAAAGCTGGAAACATCTAGAAATATCCGTGCGACTATACCAGAAGGTATTTTATATATATTTTCGCCTAAGATATGGAAATATTATTTTAACTATCTATTAACGGAGTAGCGAACAGAGTTTAGAAAGGAAAGCACACAAAATCTAAGGCCAGGAGATATTTACAGTTAACTGTCAAAATATGGAAATAACAAGCGTTAAGAAACAACTGACAATACTACTGCAATCATGTCTTAACAAGGGAGAAATACCATCTGGAAAGAACACTACCTCCCAACTATATTTTAAAATGGAGACAGAAATAAATATTTAAATTATTGAGACATTACAGTAACCAGTACACTGAGTAGAATATATGGAAAAATCTTAAGATCTAAGATAGAAAATGAGAACAACAATAAAGAGGAAGAAGAGCACCTTTTCTCAGCGCTGACCCAGATTATAGAAAAAAAAATGAAGTAATACATATTTTATTTGCAGACCTAAAGGAAGTCTGTTAAGTCTAGTGTTCCCCTCAATAAACTACGAGAAATGATAGAAAACCAGTCGTACATATAGAACTAATAAAAGCTATTAAAACAATATACCAAGTCCCAACAATAAAAATCAAACAGGAAAGAAATAAAGTTGGCAAAGTATTCAGGCCAAAAAAGGCCTTAAACAAGGTAGCTGCGTATTACCTAGATTATTTAAAATATTATAAGAACGAACACTAGTACAATGGAAGAACAAATGCAGAAATATGAGGCTTTCAATTAATAACTGCACCCTGTATATACTCATTTTTGCACATCTATCTAATTAGCCTTCTTCGGTCCATCTTTGGACATAGGCCTCCCCAATCATTTTCCATTCTTCTCTGTCCGTCGCTACAGTCATCCACCTAGAGCCCACGTGCTTCTTGATATCATATGCCCATCTCATTTGAGATGCTTTATAACGAAGCAGAGGAAGGCCCCCCAAATCAGATTTTTGTACATACATATTTATTTTCCGAGGGTTTTTTTCCCCTAAATAACATGTTAATTTTATTCATACTATTTCAATGGTGAATGGTCGTGATTAATAAACAACAAACAAAATGATTTAAACATTATATTACTTTTTGTGTTTTATTTCATTACTTTTAATTAATTTTTACTAATTTTTTATTATAGATTTATTTAAACGATGTCCCTCCGTAACTCAAGAAATAAGAGATTTTCTAACTGAAATAACTAATAAATACGCAGTAATAGACAAAGATCCTAATCTTTCTCATGCAGAAAGAAGTAGACACATGGACGAATGGTGGAATAAAACCATACAAGCGTACAGGTAATTTAATAAATTGTTAATGACACTTTTTAAAACACAATCGATTTCGGAAGGTAAATATGTTTAGGTAATAAATTATTTTAATGTAAAAAACAGCCCTTTAGCATTACTCCTTGCAATTTAACAATAAGACAAGATCGATGTCCTGTCATAGCCTTGGACCTATTGGTACATACAGCAATGCATTTCGCTCAGTCAATAGGATATTTTTAATTACTTCTATAGTGCCATTTTTTCCGTTATATCTTACGAATGTTATAAACTGGGCATAGTTGGAAATATCTGTAGATTCATCCTCATCTGTTTGTAGAACCGAGTTTTCTTCTTATTGTGCCGTCTTCTAACGAAGGTTGGCGAACACTTCTTTAAACGCTTTTCTATCTTTTGCAATTTGAAATATCTGTTCAACACTGAGATAAGTCTAATCTCTAATATTCCTCATCCAAGATTTCTTCTTTCTTTCCTAGCCTTTTCTTTCCTCTATTGTTCCTTGCATAGTGACGTGCAGAAGACAGAATTTATCGTTTTGAAGTATGTGGCCAAGATACGATGTTTTTCTTATTTTAATTGCGTTCATAAGTTTTCTGCCATGTCCAATCCGTCTTAACACTTCTTCGTTTACGATGTGTACAGTCCAAGGAATTTTTAGAATACGCCTATATAGCTACATTTCGAATGCCTCTAACTTTTTACGGATTGGGCTTTCAGAGTCCAAGCTTCTATCCGTCTATAACAGTTGTAACCATGCATAACATTCGACGAACCTCAATCTGATCTCCATACTCAATTTCTCATTTGTAAACATTGACTAACTGAACTAAACTAAACTAGACATTGACATCTAACTGTAAGTTTATAATTGGTTCAAGGTATTTATACTTGTCGACTCTCTTTAACGGTTTACCCTCCAATGTCAGATGTATGTTGTCAACAGAGGTTTTCGAGATCACCATGTCTTTGGTTTTATCTATATTCATTGTTAGTCCTATCTTTTTATTTTCTCTGTTAATGATTTCTATAAGAATTAGTAAATCTTCTATATTTTGTGCCATCATTGCGTTATCATCTGCAAATCTTATGTTAATAATGATGCTTATTCAAATTCTTGCACCTTTAGTTCTTTCCCACTAGTGCCTCCTGAAATATTAGTTGGGACTACACATTAACTAATTGTGGCGAGAACACACATCCCTGTCTGACTCCTCTTTGAATTTCTACTTAGTTTGAAACACATACATCTAGGTGTATGTGTTTTGAAATCTGTCAAACGCTTTTTGAAAATCTATTTTAAAATATGAATACGTTTTTATTATATTTCTTGCATTTTTGTAATAGTACCATCATCATCATCTGTCTTTTTCTTTGCCTTTATCTTTATGCAGGGTCGGCTTTCCTAATTACATTTCTCCATAAGTGTCTATCTTGGGTCATATCAATATTAATACCCTTTACCGACATGTCCTGCCTAAGCGTCTTCTCCCAGGTCTGCTTTGGTCTTTCTTTCCTACTATTTCCAGGAAGCCGCAGATCAGCAATTCTTCGTATTGGGCTTTAAAGCCTGTTTCTTATTCAATATTAGCCTCCTAAATTGTTCAGTAAGATTTCGTGTTTTCCTAGAACTTATGTTGCTGCTTTAGATTAGATTAGATTAGATTAGATTAAGAGAGGTGGCCTTTCGGTCTATTCCACTGCGACCTTTTCAGATCTATTGTGGTCCTGTAGTCCTAGATAACATTCTCTAGCCTGACTCTTTTTATAAAGTCTAGTAGCTTCGAGACTGTACCTTCCATGTAGCTATTTGCCGGTGGATTTTCTACTCCTAATGCAAAAAACCGCACATTTGCCAGACTGTCAGACTGACATAAAATATGCTCTGCTGTTTCTTCTTCAAGGTAACAGAATCTGCATAGGTCATTATCTGATAATCCCATCAACTTCAAGTGCCTATTCAGCTTACAGTGCCCTCTTAGAAGACCTACTATGGCTTTGACTGTTTTCCTGTCTTTGCTTATTAGGTCTGCCTTAAATTTTGGCGAATGTTATGTAATGAACTGTTTCGCCTGTCTTTTTCCTGGTGAATTGCTCCACCATTCCAGAGATTTGTGAGCTACCCACTGCTTTGTCGCCGTTTTTGTTACTGACTTTGCAACGCAGCAGAAGGGTTCCGGTCCAATGAATGGCATTGATGAGCCTTGTTTTGCCATTTTATCTGCTTTTTCATTGCCCTTATGACCCTCGTGCCCCGGTATCCAGGCTACCGTAACCTTCTACGGTCTCCTAGTTTATTTAGGGCAGACACGCAATCTAATACTAGCTTAGAATTGACCTCTACAGAACTGAGTGCCTTAAGCGCTGCCTGACCATCTGTGAAGATGGCAACTGAACAGAACGTTCTTTCCTGCCATTCTATTTCTTCCATGTAGTGATGGATTGCAGTTATTTCCGCCTGAAAAACTATCACATCCTTACATAGACTTACCGGGAAATGTATCCCTTGATTTGTCCCTACAATACCGGCTCCAACACCCTCCCATGTTTTTGAGCCATCCGTGTACCAGTTAACAGCAGCTTTTATGGGTACACCTTTATTCCAGTCTTCCCTGCCTGATATCGGCATAGCTCGCAATGTTGTTTTGAAACGTTCTAAACGTTTGGCATTCCTTTCCTCAAGTAGCTTAACTTCCTCACTGGATGTGTTGGTTCTTGCTCTGGAAACCTCAGAGTCTTATAACATTATTGCCACAAATTGGTCGCATTGCTCCTGTCGTGATCCTTTCTTAAGTTAATATGCTCTTTTTCTAACATGGCTGCACCGTACTGAAGACGACCAATAGTCAGAAATACGTATATACGGTTGCTTTCCATCTTATAGACATATTTTATTATATTTGTTGTCCTTTGTTGCGAGCTATGCCGATATCTTTTACCTTTATTTTACTATCAACTCGCATTAACCTTTTTCTTGTTCTTAGATATATACATATATATATATATATATATATATATATATATATATATATATATATATATATATATATATATATATATATGTATATATCTATATATATATATATATATGTATACATATATATATATATATATATATATATATATATATATATATGTATATATATATATTTATATATATACAGGGTGATTGATTAGTGTGAGGTAGCTCAGTAGATCTGTTATAGTAAAAATTACAAAAAAAAGTTATTGACAAGAATTGTAGGCAACTTTACACTACACATTTTTAAATTAGTTACAATCTTACAGGGTGTTCCATAAGATTATGGCAGACCAAACATATAATTTTCAACAATTATTAAAAAACTATGGTCGCAGTAGATCAATGTTCCTATACACCTTTTTAATTATACAGAGAGTTAAACCTGATATGATTTTTAGGAAATATTGGTCTTAACTTTTTAAATACCTGGTAAAACATAATAAAACTTTACATTGTTGTGATGTGAAAGTGAAACAGATTTCAAATTTAAAATAAAATACAGGGTATTCCATTTAAAAAAACATAAGTTTGGTCTGCCACCATCTTATGAAATACCCTGTAAGAATACCTACAATTTTTGTCAATAACTTTTTTTGTAATTTTTACTATAACAGATCTACTGAGCTTCCTCACACTAATCAATCACTCTGTATATATATATATATATATATATATATATATATATATATATATATATATATATATACATATATGCATACACAGGTGGTCCTTAAGTAATTGTACAAAAAGTAATCGTAGATTCTACATTTTAAAATATTAAGATTTAAGCCAAATTGCTTTAATAAAATGTTGACATTAAGAAAGATACAGGGTGTTAAAGATGGAATTTAAAATTTCATTTAAAATTTATTTTTCGCTATAACTTTCATGTTTGTGAAAATTTTACAACTGGGTAATAATGAATATCAGGATTTATAATTTGATATAGCTGATAGAGGGCGCCACATATGCTACATATGTGGCATACATTTGCACTTAATTTTTTGCTGTTTACAACGACAATTTTCTTTACAACGACGTGCATTTTAAACATAAAGTTTAAATAAACGTATGGTTGGAACCATTAGTAATTATTTTTTACGGACATGCGAATTATCTTGTAATTTGAATGGTCAGATTTATTTACATTTTTTATAAAATGATTTTATTGATATATTGAAAGAATTGTCGGCGAAATATGTGGTTTATGCAAGATGGTACATCACGACATTTTAGAGAGAGGGCAGTGAGAACATACTTAAAATAACTTTCCTGAACGTTGTATTATTTGTGGTAGTCATGTTCCTTGATATTGTGGTGAGATATGAATATAAGTATTTAATTCATATAAATCCCAAAATTTACTCCCCCAAAAAAGTATCGCCTCACTTAAAAAATTACAAATAATATTTCTGACAGTATTTGGTTAATTTAAATTATGTCTTTCTGCTCCTTAAGAGCGTAGGCGCAAAATTTCGGGCTAATGCTTTTTAAATGCTCATTTTTTTCGAATCCTGAGAAAACTAATAAGTATTTTTGAAAAATTTAAACGCAGAATGAACGAATATATTATTACCGAGGGTCGAAAGTCCCTGAAAACTTCTATAATGTTTATTTTAATAAGTTACAGAGGTGAAAAAAAAAAGAAAATTTAGTGTGATTTTTAATTTCAAATATCTTATTCAAAAAAAAACTTTTTATTTATTCTAAGCGACTTTCGGCCCTCTGTAATAATGTAATCTGTCATTCTGCATTTAAATTTTTCAAAAATATTTGTTAGTTTTCTCAGGATTCGAAAAAAATTAATCAATTTAAAAAGCATTGGTACTTAATTTTGCGCCTACGCTCTTCAGAATATTAAGGCTAGAATAAATATTAAAAAGAAATTTGTAAATACAGCTACTGTTCAAGAAAAAAAATGTGAATTGCTATTTTGTCTGGTTTTTATATTATCAGTCTTTATTTTGCTTTTGTAAAAAGTATACAGTTTGCGTTTAATTTAAAATTTCGTATTAAATATTGAATATGAAAGGTCGTGACAAATTTATATTTAAGATATGTGGCAAATTTAGTGGGTGTAAATGAGTCGACCGACAGTATCACGAGTTGATAGTACTACGCATGTGGACGATAGGTATTTAGTCCTTCAGGCTTTGCGTCGAAGACATGTGAAAACCTTAATTTTTTGCCATTTTCTCTAGTTGGGGGATGCGATTAATTTGTGTTTAAAAACAATGTGTAGTTCCACACCGATAATATTATACACTAAGAGATAGTGTCAACGTTAAGGTAATATTAAAAATACCATCTTAAATTATGATGATTGTAAAGAGTGTTTTTCCATTACAGCAAGTTCTGATGAAGCAAAAATTATGTGGCGAAAGCTTGACTTTTAATAAAAGACACTCACTTTGAAGCACCCCTTTTTTTATTGCTTCCTTAACATTGGGTCGTTGGGTCGTTCCCGGTTACCTTCAACTGTCTATATATATATATATATATATATATATATATATATATATATATATATATATATATAAGAAAAAAGAAGTACTTGTGACTCGTTTGGAAAAAATATAACACTGTTTTTGATGGGTTGGAGTCAATAAAAGGGGCTATTTGTTGACTATTTTTTACTCGAGCTTTCAATTGTGATTACAGTTTTTATCAAGAGCTTCTAAAAAATACAAAATGTCTTACAAAGTTGAACTAGAAATAAAAAATTTTTTGTTAACTCACCAAATAAAATTAGTTTTTTATATAAAACTACTGCTTACATAATAAATACAAAAAATATTAATAAAAAAATGTCTTATTCTAACAAATGTTTCTCTGAAAAATTTAGATGAAGTTTCTTAAGAAAAAAAAAATTGAAATTATAAACAAATATAGAATAGCTACAACCAGCCTAAAACGTCATAAATACTAACTTAAAAATTTTTATTTTTGACATATTGTCAAAAATAAAATTTTGTTTAAAAAATTCTTCTTTGTTTAGTAACAAAAAAGAAGAAGATTTATTCACCATTGATAGATGCCCGGAAAAATGTAACAAATACATGGAAAATTCAAAATGTGATATTTTACTGACTGCATAAATTAAATAGAAATTATATAATTATAAATTTTGCTTAAATTTTGAATTTCTGACCTTTTGTTTAAATTATTATCACTTTTGCTAATACAAACCATTTCCAAAAAAGTTCTTTTAAATTTATTACTTTCATTACATAAAATTTTAATATTATCAAAATCCATAATATGGTCTTTGTCTATTACATGCTCTGCCAAAGCACAAGATGGTTTCTTAATTCTACAATCACTCTTGTGAGAAATAATGCGATTAGAGAGATTTCTTCCAGTCTCACCAATATACTCAGCTTCACACTGAGTACAAACAATGCTGTATACTACATTTGTTTGATCTAATTTGTCTATAGGATATTTAGTTTTGGAATATAAAGATGAAATAGTTTTGATGTTCTTTGTTGCTATTTTTATATTGTCAATAACCTTTAATGTTTGTATTAATTTAGGAGTTAATGATGGTATAAAAGGTAGTGAATGATAATATATGTTTTGATTGTTGGATACAGTGTTTTGAGATTTAGCAAAAAATGGTGTTAAGTTATTTATATTTAATAAATTAGAAAAAAGAATTATTTAGAAGCTCTTGATAAAAATTGTAATCACAATTGAAAGCTCGAGTAAAAAATAGTCAACAAATAGCCCCTTTTATTGACTCCAACCCATCAAAAAACAGTGTTATATATATATATATATATATATATATATATATATATATATATATATATATATATATAATATATTAATATATATATATATATATATATATATATTATAATTAAACAAAAACAAGAAAACAATATAACAACATATGTGTCATAGTTTCGCCATCGAGTATGAATATCGTATTTTGTATTGGTTGGTATGCATTAAATTTGTTATCTAGTATGCTTTTAAAACTATTCGATCTTGGTTTTATATATTTTTGATAGAACCTCATGTTCCAACTGCTACAGTATTAGGTATTCAGAGCAATTGGTCAATTATTTTCAAGTAGGTAATAACTTGATTTGAGAAAGCTTTTTGACAACAATGTCTTTAATTATTGTTAATGAGTTTTACGTTTTTATGTTTCGTAGACTAAAAACATTTCTTTTTTTATTTTATAGAGGAATGAAAATTTCCCAGGAGGAAATTGAGAAAACCTGTTTAGAGTTTGGACCACCACTGAGGTAAGTATATCGGACCTAAAATAAAGAGATTCTTCTAAAAATATGTTAAACCGTACTTAATCTGCTGAAGACTTCATCAGTTTTTTATGCTTCCTGGGGAATTTTTGAAATTTGCGTTTTCCAATGATTTTAATTTATTCAGCCAGTTTATAGACTCGATGTTTCGACGACATAGAATAAAACAGATAAGACAGTAACATTTTCCAAGTTTAAATCTTAGTTTATAGTCTAGTTGTCAGAAATTTGACCTCTAAAAATTAAACGAACAAGCTGAAATTTGCTGAGAATATCAATTTTGGGATCCCAAAAAATATGCAAAAAAGTTTACTCCTTTTACGTCCCCTCGTAGAAGGGGAAAAAGGAAAACAATCGATTTACCAAGAATCTGTACGCTGTAAAAAAAATATTTCAAATAAAAAATGTAGCCAAGATAAGATTAAACAAAAATGTTTATTTCTATTTCTAACTACACTTTTTGTGTAGAATGAACCGTTCTCTCAGAAACAACGCCTGAATCAACCAGCAGTTTTGAACGTCAGTTATACCAGCGAAGTTAATTTTAAATAAAATTTTTATCAACTCGACGGTAAAAATTCAATATCTTTTGATAAAAATGTCGACAAATCAAAATGCGCTTTAAAGGAGAAGAATGATGCTTTCGTATGTAACTTTTGAACTAGTTACTAGTGGACTAGCCAATATCGCCATTATGTCAATGTCAATATTAGGTATATAATATTGATGTTAGAAAAGAAATACACGAGAAATAATTAAGAGGGAAAAGAAATTCAGTCATTACAAGAGAACCAATCAACATCGCTCCTATATCGTTAAAGGCAAGCGCTTTAAGATAATCGTTTGAGTAAGTTGTAAACCTAGCTTAATAATTCTAATATCAGATGTCTTTACAGAAGCTGCGGCCATCATAAATTGAAATTTTGGATGCAGCTAATAATGAAATTGAAGAGAAACTTGTTCCTAATTAAAAAATTCAATGTTGAAACCAAAATTCTCAATTATTTAGAACGGGAAGATTGAGGAATTATTCGATGGTTCTGAAATATCAACTAGTTCTTAGATCCACTATTAGCAACATCAACTGCAAAAGTAGTTTGTACTACCTTAACTTACCTTCATTAGTATCAATTTCTTCATGGCCTTCTTCTTCTTCTTCTTTGAGTACCTTTCCTATCGGAGATTGTATTTGGTTATCATAAGGGCGATTCTAATTTAATTTACTGCTGTTTTGAATAATTCCTTAGTGGTACAGCCAAACCACTCTCTTAAATTTCTCATCCAGCACATTCTTCTACGGCCTGGATTTCTGCGTCCTTGGATTTTTCCTTGCATTAGAACTTAGATACCATGGATTAGAAAAACGAATGATACGACCTACCAGCAGGCCATGATTATATGAAAAGAGTAAGTATAAACTGGATTCAAGCAGGCCAAACTGCAAAAAAGTTGCTACTTTTCAAGAAGTATAATATTCAACACCGGACCCAGTAAACTGAATGATGATAGATTACTTCGAAATAGAAGACTCTTCTTCCTTAATTAATCAGCCTTAACTTTAAGAAAAAATGTTCGTTTAAATATAATAACGTATGATTTTTTTAATTGAAGGGACAACGTAAAAGAATTTTTTGAAGTGCTAAAAGAAGGTAAGGTCCCAGTACTACTTTTATCAGGAGGACTTGGTGACTGTCTGGAGCCTTCTTTACGGGCTTCGGGAATTACTGGTTCAAATATAGAGGTAAGAATATATTTAAATAAGTACTTACATATTTTTAACTGTTAGAAACTGTTAACGGTAAAGGATGGTAGAAAAAAGATGTTACAGTACGTGGTACAGTAGATTAGCGCGAAGCTTTATACTATTTTTCTATATTTTTAAAATGTAAATACCTATATTTAAAATTTAATAAAGTAATTTCATTATTTATTTATGTTATAAACAAACTATATTATATTCAAATAATTCAATGAATTATTATGTTTGCTCCTAATGACACCAGTTGACGTAATAACAAAGCATACGTCGTTTACTTCTGACATTCTGACAGGCCTGTCAAATTGAAACGAAATATTAAATTATAATAAAATGTCAATAAATATTATTTGATAGTAAATTGGAATTGGTAAGTATGGAACCTAGTTTCCCATTCCGTACCATCTATTCGGTTTCAAGCATTTGTTGGTTTCTGAATCTAAGGGTATCACTCTTCTACCATCATGTCAATATGATCCTTTCAAAGGTATATCCACACAACTGTCACAGAATCAACGAGAATACATTCTCTTTAAAAATGGTAAAGTCTGTAATAATGTTTAATATGGACTGTTTTACATCTTTATTATTATTACTTTCAGTAATACACTATCATCATAACCTAATCTAACCATAACATAATCTAACCCCTAATCTAATCATCATAACCACCTCTATTTATGCCATGAGACCTCGTGCCGCCTATCCAATGACATAGTCCTGTGATGACTTTACATTCATGAGCTATTCAGTCTCATGACATCTTTTCCTTCCAATAATATAATATAATATATCCAATAAAACATAGAACTTACAGCAATGAACTAAGAATAAAAACATTCTTAAATAAAAGCTAATAACAATACTGATTGTAAAATTATAGTACATCTCGTAATCATTATATCTAGATGGAGGTTTAATTAATCTTTTACTTCTGGTAGGAAACTGATTCGGAATTTCACTCTCACAGACCGTTGATGTTGACTGGGTCCATAATCGTTGATGGTCTCAAGTGATAGCTATTTCTTCTTACCAATGTATGATTTTCTTTCTCAACTAAATATTTATGTTCTTGACTCTTGTAAACATCGTCTAACCACAGCAGGTTTTCATTACTTGTATAACTTCTCTTATAGCCACATTATCCCCTACACTTAATTTTTTTTTTTGTAGCTGTATTCCTATCATAGTAGTGCCTGTATAATTTTCTTTTATTATCCAATTTATTCTTTCCATTTTTTAGGTCTACCTGTTCTGGTAAATATTTTTCATGTAAAACTGGAAGTTTGCCTCTAAGTCTACGACTATTCAAGAGTTGTGCTGGGATTTATCTGATCCTAATAGCGGTGTGTTCATATATTCTAATAAGGCTAACTGAAGATCTTCACATTTCCTAAAATTATTTTTAGCTATCTGTACTGCTTGTTCTGCCTTCCCATTTGCTCTAGGATATCTAGGGCTAGATGTCACAAATTTAAAGTTTTATTCCTTAGAGAATTCTCGACATTCCTTAGAGCCAAAAGGCATATTATCAGATACGACTTCCAAATAAATTCCATGAGTGGCAAACATTGTCTTAAACGAATTTATTATTGACTGAGATGTTTTGGACTACAACGAAACAATTTCAATCCACTTTGTGAGATAATCCATTACAATTAAATATGATTCTCCTCCAAATTCACAAATATCAGCCGCTAGAATTTGAAATGGCAGTTCTGGAATTTCTCTTAGTATTAGCGGCTCTTTAACATTATTTCTCTGATATTTCTCATAACCAACACAATTTCTAACCATATTTCTAACCAAAGTATATTTCATGAAGCAACTTTAATATCTAATGCCGCAAAGAATCCGGAACTATATCTCTGTGCCTATAAAACATCAAATCATTTAATGAGTAAACGTCATGTCTAATATTAAAATAATCTTTTACTATGTAAGGTGCCCTCGATACACATGATGGCCACCCTTTTTCACAAAAATCTAGAATTATTTGAAGTTTCTTATCCTGTTAAGTTTCAGCTACAAATTCCTCTCTCCCTTTTTTCTGTTATATTTAATGTATGCCCTGTTTCCGTTACAAAAGTATCATACTCTTCCTTTTTCTTCAAAAAATTTCGAGACAACAAGTCAGCTATCAGCGTTTCCTTGCCTGGCATATATTCTACAATTAAGTCATATTTTAATAATTTCACCTTTTTACCTATTTCACCTATGCCTTTCTTCATTATCGAAATCCATTGCTTATGATCTGTGAAAACCTCAACTTCTCTAACATAAATATAATTATGAAATTTAGTACAAGAAAATAGGATTGCATTTAGTTCCTTTTCAATCTGGCTAAATCTGGTTTCACAATCGTGAAATAATACAAATCCAGCACCATTTTGACTTGACTTGTTATTGGAATATTTTCATCAAAATTTTCAAGAACTGGTGGTGAGCAAATTAATTTTTTTATTAAATTATATGAGTGTGTGTATTCTAGTCTACATCCAAACTGTATTCTTTTTTAACAATTTTCTTAAAGGAGCTGATACATCCGATAAATTTGGTATAAAATTGCGATGGTAATTTATCATACCCAGTATTATTTGCTACTCTTTTTTATTATTAGGTTATTTCAAATTTACAATAGCTTTAACTTTAGCTAAGTCAGGTCTTATACCATCGTTATCGAATGTATTTCCCAAATATTTTACTTCAGACATTATATACTGTATCTTATTAGGATTAAATTTTACTCCAATATTTCTAATACTTTATTAAGGCACGTTCTAATACTTTATTAAGGATTGTATTATGTTTTTAAAGATTATCTGCAAATATTAAAAAATCATTAAAATAGATGAGACATCCATCAATATCACCAAAGTTTTCTAAGTTAATGCTTTGAAAAAATTCAGGAGCAATATTTAGTCCGAATGAATGTCTATCAAATTTCCAAATTCCAAAAGGAGCCTGGTTTCTCTAGGATCTCTAAGATCTAGTGATCTCTAGGATTCAAACAAATGCTTAATATTTTATCAGGTTTTTCAACTATAACAAAATTGCTCAACCACTCTGTAGGACCCTCACATTTAAATTCAATGCCACGTTTTTCTAAATCTAACAGTTGATTTTTTAATCTCTCTTTAATGGCTCAAGGAACCATTCGTGTGGGCTTAGCCACAGGTACACAATTCTCTTTGAGTTTTAGTTTACATTTTTGAGGACATTTACCTAATCCAGTAAATACATATACAGTAAATACAATATTTTGTTTAATAAAGTTATTTTTTGTTATATTTAAATCTATGTTATCTACTCTTTGTATCAAACCTAAATCTAAATATGATTTTAAACTTAAATTATTATAAAGTTATCTTTAACTATAACAAATTCTAGTTGAAATATTTTCCCCTTAAATAAACATTTTAGTGTAATAATACCCACCGGTTTTATTTTAAATCCCCCATAAGCTTCTATCCTGATTTTGCACTGATTTATCTCATGATTATTATTGATTTTATTTAAAAATTAGGTAGATATAATGTTACCCTGTGAATCTGTATCTATGTTGAAGTCTATTCCATGTTGCTCAATTACTAACCTTTTAGACCATTCTTTATTTTCTTTAATTTTATTTACCTCAATTGATTTTAATATAAATTCTTCCTGTTTACTGTCCATATCTACTTCTTGAATCTTTTGAACTTCTCTTAAGATCCTTTTGTTACATATTTTCTCGAAATAGTTGTAATACAAATACTTATTGCACATTTTACCAAATACTGAACACATTCGGAACTCATGAGCATGACCACATTTTCTGCACTGACCATTTTCCTTGAGTTTTACTCCTGTTCCTATCTTTTGCTTCTTCCAGTATTAAAGTTGTTATTCAAAGCTTTTTTCCCTTGCTGTTACCATTTCCCCCTTTTACAGAATGAATATTGTTTGACTTGACTGAACTTCTTTAAACTGTGTTTTTAAAATTCTCTATGCTCTACACATGTCTATTGCTTTTTGTTTAACTCATGATTCTGCAACATTTTTCTGTAGATCTTTATTGATTCTACCTAAAACTAGTCTATCCCTGATTATTGAGTCTAGAACATCTCCAAATTCGCAATTTTTTACCAATTTACGCAAGTCGATTAGGTAAGTATCAAATAGCTCGCCTTCCTCTTGTTTTCTATTGTAGAATAAAAATCTTTCGTAGATCACATTCTTTTTAGGGATGAAGTAATTCTCTAATTCACCCAATACTGTATCATACGATTTTCTTTGTAAATCTGTTAACTTTAAGGTGTTAAACACATTAAGTCCTTCATCTTCCAAAAAATTTAACAGTAGAGCAATGTTTACTGTGTCTTCCTTTTCGGCCTTGTCACTGGCGAAGAGGTAAATTTCAAATGACTGTTTGAATCGCCGAAAGTTTTCAGCCACGTTACCTTCAAATGATAATGGTTGAGGTATTCTAAACTCCATATTGTTCTAATTCTAACAACTTCTTGTTTTCGTTGTTTTTGGCAGCAGCAGACTTCATAAACCACAAGACTGCGCCATGTAATAATGTTTAATACGGACTATTGTACATCTTTATTATTAATACTTTCAGTAACACAGTATCAACATAACCTTATCTAACTAAAGTGCTTCATTGTCCCATGTCATAGTCCTGTCAGGATTTTACATTCACGAGTTATTCAGTCTTATGACAGTGTGTCAAATTAAGTCTATACCAAAAGATATTTTTTATAAAAATTTTAACCTAGCAATTTTAAACCTGATGATGGACTGTTTAGTCCGAAAACGTTTGTTTTTTTGATGTAGCCCTTTTAAGGGTTTTTAAATAAATATACCCATTTATGAAGATTAACCTCTTTTTTTATAAAAAGTTCTCCATGCTCTTAAATCTAAACTACAATCAAATAATATACAATCATCAAATATTTAATTTTTTTCAGGTATATACACGGTTTGTCAAAAAATATGAATTGGGGATATTGTTAACTCTTACAAAAAATTTAATTTAATATAAACATTTTCCGACAAGCAACCCAAAATAGAGAAAATAAAAGAGATAAGTGAGACATTCATACAGCATCTTACCTATTCATATTCATTATGATGATTTTAAGTAAATTTAAGCAACCATTAAGTTGAAATTGCTGCCAAACGTAAACTGTCTTACTTATCGGACCTCCAGAATCTTGGCATTTTATCTGTTTCGGCTAGTAAACCATAAAAAATCTTTTTACTCTAAAAGGCGTACATTGCTAACCAAATAACGTCAAAATCACGATACGATTCTAATCAATTTTTTGCCAGTTGTGGTTTAACCTCAGTCTTGGTATAGTGACCATTTTTATCGTTTTTTCTGCAAGAAATTCCTATAGTATACGTTATATTTTCTTGGATGACGAAAATAATGAAGTTGTATTACGTCATACGTCATTACTTGCGTTAGGTAATTCTCGTTATATATAAATATTAATCTAGAATCTTCGTCATTTTGTCTATTTTTAGTAAATAACGTTAGCAAAGATATCAAAAAGCATTAAAAATACAAAGAACAATATTAGAAATTATTAAAACACATTAAAAAATAAAGAAAATATTTTAAATAACTTGTGAAGAAACGATAGAATAGAATTATTAATTAGAAAAATAGAATTTCGTTCTTTTTTTAGGTTCCTTATATCAGTTTTTATTCTTACATCACTTTTCCTTTTTAGTGCTTGAGATGCTGACTGTTATTTTATTTTCTACCAGGTAGTGGTCCGAATCTGGAATGGTTTTTCGTCTTCTGCATACCTTTATTACACCTGATTGATGTCTAAAGTCAATAATAACGTGATCTATCATATTCAATACAACCCCATCCGAGGATCTCCATGTTTCCGTATAAATGCTTTTGCGCGGGAAGCATGTAATGACAATGATTATATTAACAGCAATTGCTAGGTTTATTAACCTAATGTCTTCTTCTTCTTCTTTTTATATAGACATGACTCTGTGCCTCCAGTAAGTTGTCATTCCATCGTTTTCGTGGTCTTCCTACTGATCGTCTTCCTATTGGGGAACCGTCTCTTGCCGTCTTTATTACTCTTCTATTTCTTACCCAATTTTTGATGTTCTCCACCTTGCATCTATGTCGTATACATGTACTTCTAACTCTGCCCCATAGTGACTTACCATCAATTTTTCTAAGTGTTTTCATCTCTGCTGTTTCTAACATCCTTTTTGTCTTTTCTGTGTCAGGTCTTGTTTCTGCCGCGTATGTCATTATTGGTCTGATGACTGTTTTGTAAATTCTGCCTTTCGTTTCTTTCCCGATATATTTATTTCTCCATATTGTTTCATTTAGGCAGCCTGCGGCTCTGTTTGCTCTAATCAGTTGATCTTTCACTTCGGTTTCGAGCTTTTCGTAGCCATTCTTTGTTTCAAGTTAAGAAAATAACATTACGCTTATGGAGATCAGTGTTGCCAAAACTCTCAGACACTCTCTTTTGCACGGATGTCCAAGATATTCCCTTTGCTTAATTTTTGAATTTTCATTTTCAATTAACACTTAACTGTAAAGTCAGAATAACTACTAAATAAAAGCCTTATTATCATTATGTAGTCAGAGAACGACATAAAATAGCTGACATACGCACATCGCATTATTTTAAGTTGCAATTAGTAATTAGATATACGCATTCCAAGCGGTCAATATTTTCTACTGATTTCTATGATTCATGGCATATCGTATTCTCACCGAAAAACAAATTAATAAACTGTCGTTACTATAATTAAAATAAGATAAAATAAAATTATCTTTTGTAAATACTATTTATCTAATTAAAATCATTTTCCCTACTTTTCATCTCTTGTTTCGAATGGGCACTTTTGGTCAATTACGTTAAAAAACATTAATTTAATTCATGTTTGTGGAAACAAAAATACAAATTATACAACCCTAAATTGTGCTTGTGTGTGTCGTGGCAACGCCGCGTTGCTATCGTTCATAAGAAATACATGGCCCTATCTCCGCAATGTTATTTTCTAAACGTGGAACGTCGTATAGATAATGTGATGTCTAGGTATTTAAACTCCATCACTTATTCTATTATCTGACCTTCCAGCTCCAATTTACATCTTAGTAAATTTGCTGTTGTACCCATGCATTTTGTCTTTGTTGGGGAAATGAACATGTTAAATTTTCTGGTGGTTGTATTAAATTGGTGCAGTATACGTCGTAAGTCATCTTCATTTTGAGAAAGTAGTATTGCGTCGTCTGCATAGCAGATTATTTTAAGTTGTTTTTCTCCCATTTGGTATCCTTTTTTAGTTTTTACTTTTTCCATTATTTTATCCATAATAAAGTTGAACAGTAGAGGACTCAGAGAATCTCTCTGTCCTTATCCCACTGCCAGCTTCAATAGGGTCGGTCGGTTAGTTCTTCTTCTACTTTGACTTTTATTGTGTTGTTTTGGTAGATATTTTCGATCGTTTTGATTATTCCTAGAGGTATCTCTCTTGCATACAGTAAGTGGATAACGTCTACGAAATACGTATAAGGTATGCATATACATAGATATGCCGGTTTGTTATATTCTAGTGATTTCTCTTGCACTTGCCTCATCATAAATATAGCGTCGGTGCATGATCTTCCCGGCCTAAAACCGTTTTATTCTTCTACTAGTGTTATAATTTCATTCAATTTATTTGTTATCACTCTGGTTGTTAATTTTAGTGTTGTTTTTAATAAATTAATTCCTCTGTAATTTTCCGGGTCCGATTTGTCTCCCTTTTTGAAGAGGGGTATTAGGATGCTTGATCTCCATTCTTGAGAAATTCTGTTTTATTCTATTATTTTTTGAACTGGTGATATTCTATTTTTTAATTTTCTTAATGCTTCCTTTACCTCTACCTCCTTAATATTTATTTCTTCGTTTGTCGTCACCTCTGGTGTTGGTGGCATCATCGTCACCTTTAGCAAACAGGGATCGAAAGTAGTCTACCCATGTTCTCTTCTGAACGTGTTTCGTTTTTATTAGTTCGTTCATCTCTTTTCTTTGTCCTCTGATCATTCTCCATATTTCTTTGGATTTTAATCGGATTTCTTCATTGAATATTTCATGGAGGCTATATTTGCCTATGGTTGGTATAAATTGTAGAGATTTTTCTATTTTTACGTTGAGATTACTGGTATGCAGTTTCTAATTCATCCTTAAATGGTTACGTGAAATCATCATCCATTTCTTCAGTAGTGCATGCACATTTTAAAGGGATACACATTCGTGGATTTATCATCATAGGGTCTTATTAGATCTATTTTTTTTTATTTATTAGTATGAAGCCGGTGCCTAGAGCGTAACTTTTAGTATCGCAACTGTTGAATTCTTCTCCTCTTTTCTTATCCGAGCTTGGTACCTGCAATGGCGGATTTGTACACTGATAAAGGCTTTTAATAAATAATTCATTTATATTTAGGTCCAGAAGGAACTTTTCATTTCCTTTAACCCCTATAGGCCGTAGTTGTGCCCCTAATTTATCTGTATCATACGCTTGTCCATTTAATTTGGTAATCTCTTTCCATTGTGATGGGTACGTTCGTCATATTTGTTTTTGAAGGACATAAAAATCCCTTCCACTGCTTTAAAAAGCCACCCTGATACATTTTTATTAACTTATTACCTAAAAATATTTATCTATTAAAACTGTCATTAATTATCCATATATCAGTTTTATAATGTAGTTTGAGTTTTTAATGAAATATGTCTTCTGAATTTTAGTTAGTTGCAAATTATATTAAAAGAGACAACGAGGGCAGGATACAGGATTATAAAGCACCTCCTATTCATACAGTTAATAAAAATGAATACATAAAAAATACGCAACATTATAAAAAACATACCAATAGACCGAACGTACTTCTTTTGGGAGACCATCTAGGAGATGCACAAATGGTAAATAGCTTGGAACATGTTGGGACTGTACTGAAAATTGGATTTTCTTATAATGAAGTAAGCGCAAACTATTTTTCCTACTAATTTTAAAATTATTTAGGTTTTTTATATTTAAGATGCACGACTCTGCATATTAAATTGCATTAAAATTTTAAAAATATACAACGTCAAGGTAAAGATTTTTATGTTGAGCTAATATATGGCGCCGACGAATATATTTGCACGTTCATATAATATATACCGTCATCCAGATTAAGCCATACAGCTCACACTCTCTTAGTCATCCCAGATACCTACGGTATCAAAAGGATTGAGTCCTGGTGGGACTTTTTCCGTGTTGTCGAGTCGTAGGTGACTTGATACGTCGGTGTATCTCCCAAAAATTTTTCTACGCATCTGCATGGTCTGCATGAGAATTATACAGGTTTCTGCATGGTCTTATATAAATTTTCATTTAGACTCAGCTTTTTTATTTTTTCTAGTAGATTCTTTTAAATTACTTCAGTAGTAGAAAAAATAATAGGTATCGTCTGGGTATTTTCCATTCTCCATTGTCTCCTTATTTGTATTTCCAAATCTCTATACTTGACGAACTTTTGGTTGTATTTAACACGCAGATTATTGTTGTTAGGTATCGCCACATCAATTAATGTTATTTGTCTCGTTAGTTTATTAACTAGTACAAGATTTGGTATTACGTGCTACAGTTTATCTTGTAGTTGTTATTATCAAGCATACTATCAGAAAGGTATTGATAATACGGAAGCTGATTTGTTTGGAGAAGTCCCCGTTTGAAAATTATCTCTTGATAAGGGATCTTTCCTACTGAAATATACCGTTCCTTATATTCAGCTGCAGCAAATGCCTGGCAGCCAATAGTAATATATTGGATGGTTTCTTGGGCTTGACATCCACATCGGTATTTGTCATTTTGGACCCGAGAGTCTTTGACGATATATTTGAGGTAATTTTTTATTGGTATAGCCTGATCCTTAATGACAAGTAATAAGCCTTCTATTTCAGAGAACATCTTTCCTGATGTCAGCCAATAGTTTGATGCGATATTGTCGACGTAGACTTGACTGACTTCATTGAAATGTCGTCCGTGCAGAGGTTTACCAATTCATGTGTAAATTTGTTTTTCCTTAAAAAGATGGTTTGTACGAATTTTTGGTTCCCTCAATTTAATGGTGTGGTGTTATTTACTGCGCAAATCGCGAGATGTATAATGTATAGTAGATGTCTCAACCTGCACTTGACAATAAGTTCTTACATTAGTAACCTGTTTCTCTAATTGCTCACTGATATCCATAACTCGTCGTTCTTTCTACTGCACTTATGCTTCTCTCTTCTTTTTAGACCTTCTATGTTTCTAATTGCTTTTTCTCAAATAGCCTTTTTCTTTTCTTCTTTGGGTTTGTCCACGATTCCTTCACATTTTCCTTCGCTGTCAAAATCTCCATTTCCTCATACATTTGTGTATAATACTCTCTCGCAACGGTTTCTTCTGATTTTTACCATTACAAGAAAGTAGTCACTATCTATGTTTGGGCCTCTGACATCCATGAAATTGGAAGAATGCCTTGCATTTATCAGAATGTATTGTATCTGATGAATGGTTTGTTTTACTGTGAAGATTTTTATGTTCCTTTGTGGATAAAGGTACTTCCACTATTAAATAATTTAAGGTTAATTTAGGTTAATCCTATTATGTAGCAATATTTTGAAAACGTTTGTAGAACATGCTTAGAAGTCTAATTGGGCAATAGTTTTTTGGTGTATCATTCGTTTTCTCTGGTTTCAAATGGAGATGGTTTTAAACCATTTTTGAGTTGATGGGGTACATTTCCTATTTAAAGGATGCATAAGAAAAACTTCGTAAGCCATTGTCTGGTAAATATGCCGCAGTTTACTTCATGCAGGAGTTAGTAAATTACTTGTCCGATAGTTAGTGACCAGTAAAATAAACCACATAATGAAGGATCTGACAAGATTTTTAGTAACCTCTTATATGTGAATCTAGTTTTTAACTACTTTAAGTAATTAAATAAGTTCTTGTTCGAGTATTAATAATGACCTTGTTTCAGGCTGAAGTAGTGCTGCCCACCTGGTTAAATACATTTGATATAGTTCTCAAAGATGATCAGTCGATGAATGTCCCAAAAGCTATAATTAAATTACTAAACAAAGAATAATTGACTCATAAGAATTTACTTTCTTTAAGCAAAGACGGTCGTTGTATAATGTGTATATTAAAATTGTATATTTCGTTAATGGAATAGACTTTTATTTCTCTATATTATCAATTTATGTATACATATATATATATATATATATATATATATATATATATATATATATATATATATATATATATATTGGATTTGAAATTTCCGCGGGAGCTATATGTGGTTTCTGTTATTTTCCGGGTTTGACTCTACGTTAAGTAATTTTGGTTTTTAGAAAAACCATTGTTTTGACGACGTTTCGGCAAGGTAACACTTGCCATTGTCAAGTCAGATTAGTTCGAGATGTTCTATCCTATCCGTTTCGGATGTTGGCGACCATCATGGCAATCATGGCAAAGAGAGGCCTAACAGTAGCAAAAATAAGATCAGCATAGGTATATAGGGTTTGTGCATGTTCAGCGTCGAGACGTTAATCACCCAATACAAATATTTGCTAATTTTGTAGTTCCTGGGAGTAGTAGAGAAGACATGGGTGGAGATGCACAGGCAGGACATATCGATAAAGAGGATTGATATTGGTATGACTCAAAATAGAAACACGGAGATACTTAATTAGGGATAATATTGCATTGGGATAAAGTCAAAGAGAATGATGATGATTATGGCCTTTAAGAACTTCACGGAACAAATTAAATCACAGTGAATTTTAGAAAATGACATTTAATAATTCATTATGAAAGATATAAATAACGCATTGTGGGTAGCAGAACTTTATGACGATGTTAAATGACGTAGAAGGATACGTATTGAATAATTAACCCATTTCTTATCATTGAAATACGTTGATTTGAACGTTGATACGTTAAAATTGAATATATGAAGCAGTTAGGCTAAGGGCCGTCTTGGGTTTTTTATGTATTTTTGGCTGCTGATTACGAATTTCGAGAGTGGATTTGGATCCGAGGGGTCAAAAAATTGAAGACCTTATAGCAACAATTTAAAAAGTTGTTTTTGTAGAAAAAAAACAATAAAAATTCAAAAAAATGTGGCTTGCACCTTTATTACAAAAACAAATTATTAGTATAACAAGTTGTAAAATAGGTATCTTATCATAATATTAGAAGTTATGTACAGTACTAAATATGAAAAAAATTACAATTCTATACTTGTAAATATTCTATACAGAAATATATACAGAATTGTTTTAAAATGAAAACACAAACAATGAAACTTTTCACGGGTATTCTCAAGGACAAATTGGAAAAGCAAATCACTAATGCTGAAGAACAACAAGGTTTTACAAAAGGGCGGTCTATAACAGACGCAGTATTTGTAATAAAACAAATAAAAGAAAAAGCTATAGAGTTCGGCATGCCAGCGTATATTTGCTTCATTGATTTGACGAAGGCATTTGACAGAGTTCGCCTGGGAGACATTCTAAATATATTAATAGAAAATGAAACACCGACCAGTATAACAAAGATACTCCATAACCTAAACAACAACAACGTAACCAAAGTTAGAGCAGGAGACGAATTCACTGAAAATATTCCAACACCGGGAGGAATTAGACAAGGCGACAGTTTAAGCCCCTTCTTGTTTAATCTTCTCATGGGCAAAATTATCAACAAAGTAACATCTCTTAATCTCGGATATAGAATGGGCAACAAAAGAATTGGTATGGTGTGCTACGCAGACGATGCAGCAATTATTGCCGAATCAGAAGATGATCTCCAAAGGCAGCTCTTTCAGTTCTTTCAAACAAGCCGACTATTAAATATGAACATCTCTACCAACAAAACTAAATGTATGACAATAGCAAAAGATCCGCTCAGATGTAAGTTAGTGGTTGAGGACAACCCCATAGAACAGGTGATGCAATTCAGATATCTGGGCATAGATATATCAAGCACTTATGACCCAGTAAAGGACCTGAGGAGTCAGATCAACAAAGCATCTGCACTGTCAGGATGTCTGCGGGAGATAGTCTGGTCTAATCCGTATATGCGCACAGATAGTAAAATTAGAATCTATAAGACTTGCATACGACCGATCATGACATATGGCATAGAAGTGCGCGAAGATACCAACAAAACGAAACAGATGCTAAGGGTTGCCGAAATGAAAACCCTAAGAACAATAATGGGGAAAACAAGAAGGGACAGAGTGAGAAATACAAACATTAGAGAGCAGTGCAAAATTCAAGATATTGTAAGATGGGGAAGACAGCGCAAGAGGATGTGGTACAACCATGTAAGACGAATGGATGATAATAGACTCCCAAAAATTGCCCTAGAAAACAATCCGCCTGGTTCAAGACCCCCGGAAGACCACCTAAAAGATGGAGGGATAGTTGGCAATCTACCTCCCAAGAAATTAACCAGAGGCAGCTTCAGAATTAAACAGATCGAAAGATCTACAAAAAGTAGAAGAAGAAGAAGAAGTTTTAAAATCACTTTAATTTTGATCCTCCAGATCGCTAAGGTCATCCAAATGTTATGTCTCATTATCTATATTATCATTATCTGTTCCCATATTTTCAACAACATCAATCTCTCTGTAGTAATTCTGGTAAATAGGTGGTATATAGCGAAGAAGCATCGAAATATGAGATATTTTTTTTGGATTTAATGGAATGGGTGCATCATATTTAATTTTTAAATCTCTTACATTTAGGTTTACTGCAGTTCTAACAGCTCTCCTACCAATATTGACAGATTTAAATAATTCGTTCCAAAGATGTTTATAAAAAATAACATTTGGAATCTCATGAGTAAATTTAAATATGCAGATTTTACTGAAATTAAGTTTTTCTTTATTTTCTGTTTGCGTTTTTTGGTAATATTTTGGATCTGTAAATCCTTAAAAGACAAAATATCTTGTTGCTGTAGAACAATGGCAATAAAAGGATTTTTCCTTTTTAATTTTAAGACTGCTTGATACCACTCAGCAGGAGTATACACCTGAGTTAAATAACGGCGTTTATGTTTTTCACTAAAGGCGAAGTCACGATCAGAAGGAAGATGCGTGTGTCCCACTAGTAGAAATCTACATTGTTTCAAAGACACCTTTAACTAGTTGTTGCCACAGGCATACAATGGTCCAATTTTTGTTTTGTTCAGCGCAATTATCGCTATATACAACAAGCTTCCTATGTTCAGTAGGATTTTATTTAAAATGCTTATACAATATACTATCAATCTCGTCACATATATACATATATCCCATATCTTTAACGCAATCATGTATTCCTAAGTTACAGGTCCAGATTTTTCGTAAATAAAAAGTAGGACAAACTGTCATTGAAGATACAGGTAGAGCTTACTGTAAATCAAAACTGATGACAAGTGTGTCTTTTGTTCTCTTAGCATTTTTTACTTCATCTTTCAGGCTTTTTTGGAAAGCTTCGGCCTTCGATAGTGTAGCTCAAGTTGAGTCTTAAACCTGTGTGCTGATGCTTCTGTACTGCCAACATTTCTAATTTGAATATTTAGAGAGTCACATGGTTTGCAGGTGTCAGCAGAAATCGATAAATCATAATCTATGTTTTGAAGCTATTTTCTTGTGGCATTTTAAATTAATTACTATTTAACTGGGAATAAGCCACAATTAAAGATAAAAATACGTTTATTGACGTTTCAATATCCAATTGAGAACGATTTCCGAAGTGGAAATTGAAACGTCAATAAACGTATTTTTATCTTTAATTGTGGCTTATTCCCAGTTAAATAGTAATTAATTTGTAATCTATGTTTGTTTGGATTTATATATACATATATATATATATATATATATATATATATATATATATATATATATATATATATATATCTTTTTCTGTCATATGCAGTTGTTTCTTCTAAGTCTCTTGCCGCCATTGCTTCATCGATATCGTTGCGCCAACTCCTCCGTGGTCGTCCTCTCTTTCTTCTTTCAGGCGGGATCCATTCCAGTACTCTTCTAGGCCATCTGTACTCTGGCATTCTTTTAACATGTCCGAGTATCTACATTAATTGTTTTCTTTCTATGTCATCATTGATATTTCGCTCCATTTTCATTTCGTTTCTTATTTGTTCGTTTTTAACTCTCTCCAGTTTAGATCTACCGTAGCTTCGTCTCAAATAATCAATTTCTGATGTCATAAGTTAGTTTCTATTAGCTTTGGTGACGTCCCATACTTCCGAACCGTAAAGTGTATTACTTTGGACTATACTACCGTAAATGTGTTTTTTGGTTTCTCGTCGAATTGTTTTTTGCCAGAGAAGAGAGTTTAAGGCACGGGTCGCTGCTCTGCCCTTGTTTATTCCTTTCCTGATTTCATTTGCGCTATTTCCCTTCTTATTGAAAATGACCCCCAAATATTTGCAGGATTGCACGCCTTTGATTTTGTCCTCTTTCAAGACTAGGTCACATATTTCATCTGTTCCCACTGAGAGATATGTACAGTTTGTCATATTTATGTTTAGACCTGCCACTTCATATTATTCTTGCAGTTTTCTTACCATATAGCTAAGATCGTAGCTGTCTTCGGCAATTACTACTTGGTTATCGGCAAAGAAAAGTGTATATAGCGTGTTTTCTTCCACCAATATTCCCATGTTTTTACATTTTTTTACCCGTTTTACTAAGAATCTGTCCAAATAGATTTTAAATACGGTGGGTGACACACAGCAGCCTTGTCTTAGTCCCTTTGTTGTTTGAAAAGGAGAGGTGATTTCTTGTCCCATTTTAATTCTTGGATTTTTTTGCCTACTATAATGACTAGTGTATTTTGGGATGAACTTGATATGCATTTTTACGTTTTCACAATCACAGTCATTAATTTGATTTGCTCTGTTCTGGTGTTTACTACGTTTATCTGCTTTTGGGGTACTAGCACCTTCCTTTATTTGTTTGCATAAAAGTTAAATTCTTTAATCCATGAACTACAAGAAACTCTTGTTTGCATATTTGTACATCTATACCCTTGATCTTTACAAAGTATTGTATTGAGACATTTCGCGACGATACATGTTTTTTGTTTTTTTTTTTGGGTCGGTTCTTTTTTTGGAACACATTTTATTGAGAAAAAAGATATATGTTTTG